GTCCTGTCTGTGTTTTCTTGATGTATACCAAGTCTTTTTCTTCTGAAAAATAGCTGGAGTGTCTTCTACATAGTGCGATAAAGCTTCTAGTTAGGAAAGAAACAAATGATGTAAAGTGAATGTGAAGTTAGAGAAGGATTTTAGCTATTTTAAGAAATGCTTTCTCCAAAAGAAGCATCAATATCTGTCTTAAATTAAGGAGATAGGAGAAAGGAAAGGGAGAGATGAAACATAAATTGACTAACATTTCATCAGTTTGTTTCCTGGGGCTGTAATGTAATGGTACCAAGATATCCTTATTAGCCCAAGCTTCTTTGGATTTTTCTTTCTTTTTGCAAGGCTTGCTAACTTTAACACATTATCCAATTTGTTCGGTTAGACACATACCATTGTGGTGTATAAACTGTTTCCTACTCCAATTTCTGCAAAATAAGTCAGTGCTCAGACCACATTTACCAAGAATGAGAAAATTTTGCACTTAAGATGGAATTATTCTCAGTTGCTAAGTGGATACCAATGGTTTGAGCTGGTATGTTTGGGTTTTGGGTGGCCAATATCCATCCCCTCTGATTTGTGTAGGATCACCTTGATTACAGGAAGTAAACTATCCCTACTTCCTCTCTCTCAGTTCACGAGGGTCCAGGTGGCTGACTCCAGAGGTAGGTAACTGAGCCAAGCCTGGTCAGTCAAATGTATTGGCACTGGAATCTAACTGTTGAGTGGAACAGCTGCTCAAAGTTGGGATCGCTTAATTTTCCCTACAGTTGGCTACTCAGGAAAATAAATCTCTTATATCTGGTTTCCTTGAGCTCCAGAGCCTTCCAGCTCTCTGACCTTCCCTTAGATTTGCATTGTAAGCAGATTGATTCTGATCATTATGCAAATCACTGCCAATAAATTCAAGTTTGTCTCTTAAATTATTTTGAATATGTTCTTTACAACCAAAGAAAAAATTGAAATTTATATATGACAAAACATCTTAAAAGTATAAAAAAAAAACCCAACACACTAACTCTTTAGCACTGTCCAACCTGAGTTCCACCACCAAAGTGTACTGTAAGGCAGTGGGACCAAATATTAGCAAACCTCTCAGAATTTTTAACTTTTAAACAACATCCCATACTAAGGATGCTTTCCTGGAAACAGATGTCTAATTAATACTTTATTCTTTTTCATACTTTCAAGGATGATCTACTTTTACAACTGTTCTCTCATTCATTTTGCTTCTTATTTTCAACAGAAGGGCAGCATGATGATTCATATCGAAATATTTTTCTTTTTAGGGTAAAACATCACCTATCGTAAGAAAATATTTTTATTATTATATTTTTAAAACTTAACATTTTAGAACTTCTTTAATACTTATCTGTACACTCATTGATGGCAAGCAATTGGTCTTGCCCAGGACTAACCAATAGACATATAATGAGAATCACAGAGAAATTTTAAATTTCCCAATGGTCACATGTTTTGGAAGTAAAAAGAGATAGGTACAATGAATATAGATGATAATTTTTTTTCATCCCAGTATATCTACAATAATATTTTAACATGTAATCAAAATGAAATTATTGAGATATTTACAATTTTTTATATATTAAGTCCTTAAAATCAGCATGTGTTTTAACACTTAGAGAACTTCTCAAATCAGATGCAAATTTCTGTTAGAAATATTTGGTTCATATATAGATCTTATAAATTTTAGAGTTGAAAAAGTAGATTCAAATACCCAAGTTCCTCAAACATAAAGTTTCTGATAAATGACTTCAGTATCAATTTTTTAATTAACTAAAATTGCATGCAATTAAAATTCAGTTCCTCTATTGCACTATCCACATTTCAAGTGCATGTTTCATGTGGCTAATCTATACTTTCTTTTTTTGTTTTACTTTGTTTTGGATACTGGGACTTGCACCTGGCAACACTTTACCACTGAACTATACCCCAAGCCCTTTTTATTTTTTTATTTTGAGACAGAATCTCACTAAGTTGCTTAGGGCCTCACTAGGTTTTTGAGGCTGGCCTTGAATTTGAGATGTCCCTGCTTCAGCCTCCTGAGTTGCTGGGATTAGTCATGAACACCTGGCTACAAATACTCCAGACCTCACAAATCCAGCTGAACTCTCTAGGCACATGTGTTCAACGATGGTGAGGAGAGGTGCTCAAACATTCATCAGAGGTATTAGCACCCACTCAAGGTATTAGCAGTTCAAACACTCTTCAATCACTTTTTATTATTGAAAGATACAAGAATTTCTACTTGTATCTTCAGGTATTGCTACGGTTTGAAATTTGTCCCTTAAAGTTTGTGTTGGAAACTTTATCCCTACTTGTACTAATAGCATGTGGAAGTGAGACCTTTGAGAGATAGGCAGGATTATATGTAGGGACTATACATTCATAACCAGATTAATGGTCGATACATTTATCTGAACACATATGTAACAATTGATCTATGTGTATTTTTTTCCATTTTTCTTTTGGTCATTATGATGATTTCCCCTTCATTCTTAAAAGTTTGAAGATATTTATTTATTATAGTTGTTTCAGTGACCACGTGAAGTATATTTATAAAAGCTGTTTTAACATTCTCTCCTTCTACGATAGTCCCCATGATGGCATTAGTGGCTTTATAAGAAGAGAGGCCTGAGCTAGTTGCCTGCTGTCTGGCCATGTGATGTCCCCAGCCATGCAATGATGCAGCAAGAAGGCCCTCACGAGATGAGGAGATTTCGCTATCATGCTGTGGACTTCCCAGCCTCCAGAGCCATTACTCAGATGAACTTTTTCATAAATTACCCAGTCTCAGATTTTCTTGTTTTAGTAGCAGGAAACAGATTGAGACTGGTATGTTAACCCTCATTAAACTGTATCTTTAGGGCTGGGGTTGTAGTTCAGTGATAGAACACTAGCCTAGCATGCGTGAGGCACTGGGTTTGATTCTCAGCACCACATATAAGTGAATAAATAAAAAAGAAAGGTCCATCAACAATTATATATATATATATATATATATATATATATATATAATTGTTTTAGTTCATTGATTTAAAAACTGTAGCTTTATAGATTTCATCAAATTCAGAAATTTTAAGGATCCTTCTTTCTTCAAAGGTTTTTTATTTTTTCTTTTTCTGTCCTGTATCCTCCTCTAACTGCCCCCCTTAAACTACCCACCACTCTAAAACCACCATTCCAGGATTCTAGTTACTACATGATCATCAGCTTAATATGGTCCCATAGCTCACTTTTGGTTTGTTCTTTTCTTTTTCTCTGGGTTTTTTTTTTTTTTTTTTTTTTTTTTTACTTATTTATTTAGTGTAGTTTCTGTTTCTGTCTTCACGTACACATTTTTTCTTCTTCAGTGTTTAATCTGCTATTAATACCATCCATCATATTCTATATTTTTCTTTTCAGATCATGCACTTTTTCTTTCTCCACCCCCTGCTCCCACAATAGATAGAAAAAAAAATAGGCATAGATCAAGCTATTTCTATTTTTCCTTTGGTTGTTATGAGGATTTCCTCTCCTTTCTTAAAATCATGGAGTACATTTCTTAGTTGGTTTAGTGAAGATAGGGAGTATATTTATAAGAGCTGCTTTCACGTTCTCCCCTTCTATCATCTGTGTCATTTCTGGATCTGTTCCTACAGTTTGATTTTTCTCTTTGTTATAGATTGCACATCCCTGCTGGGGCCTGCCATAACAAAATATCATAGCCTAGGAGCTGAAAAACTGCATAAATTTATTTCTCACAGTTCTAGAGGCAAAGAAGTCCAAGTCAAGGCACCAGTAGATAGGGTATCCGAAGAGAGTTCACTCTGGTTCATGGTTGGCACTTTTCACTGTGTCCTCAGTTGACTGAAGAAGTTATAAACAAGCTCCTTGGGCCCATTTTATAAGGGCACTAATCCCATCCTGAGAGTTCTGCCCTCATGAATTCATCACCTCCCCAAGACCCTGCCTCCTACTACCCTCACCTGAGGGTTAGAACTGCAATGCATGTATTCTGGGGAGATGCAAACATTCAGGCCATCGCTGCTGCCTGCCTGCTAGGGCACGCTTACCCTCTTGTGTGTGCACTCACTCTCTCACTCTCTCCCCTCTCTCCATAGCGACTTCCTTTCTAGAATGTTTCTCCACAAATTTTCTAAGCTCAGCAGGACTACCAGGTTGTTTGGGTTCCCTTTCCCCATAGAGGAATGAGCCAGGGCCATGGAAGTGCTTATGTGATTGGTTTCCTTTCTGTGGGAATCTCTATCCAGTGCTATCTTTTGTCCAATGTCTGAAAACTGTTGTTGCGTGTACTCTATGTCAGTTTTCTAGTATTTGAGGAGAAAAGGCAAATCTAGTTTATGTTATTCTATCATGGTCTAAAGGATATAAAAATTTAATTGCCACTCATTTAATAAATGTTGATTCAGTGCCTACTGTATATTAGAAACTGTGCAAAGATCTGGAGATTGACTGTTGAACTAAAAAAATATGCAGTCCCTGCCCTCGTGGTTACTACAGCCCATCAGGGGAAAAAAATAACTAAAAATTACTCAAGTAAATATGTATGCGAGGGAGCAGAGTGCTATAAAAGTATATAATGGGAACACCTGATTTAGTTTGGGAAATCAAGAAACAAAGGACATTTTAACTAAGAGTTAAGGAATAAGGGAGATTTAGTGTCAATATTTTACAGAGTAGGAATATTACCGAAGAGAGCAGCATATGCAAAAGGCCTGTTGCAGAATGAAAACCATTAGGGATCATCCAGCCCAGCCCTTAGATTTCCCAATGAAGAAACAAGGGCTCAGAGAATTTATGACATTTGCCAGTTGCAGAAGAGGGTCTAAAATCTAGGAGTCCTACCTTCACATCTAATGTTCTTCCCATTCCACAATATTGCTAAATAAATGTAGAGAATACCAGAACACATTATGTAATGATTTTTTCATTTTATGGTTTATGGCATTTTATGAGTAATACATAATCTTATAATTTATCTTCATTTAAAAACAATTATGGCCAAAATTTTATTCAGGACATACTTTGAATTGTCAATATTTTTATATAGTTACAAAGTGTATCCCGGAACTTGTAAAAAAAAAAAAAAAAAGTGCAAGAGAGCACAAAACAGAAAAGAATGAACACTCACATTTAACACAGAGAAGCCACAACAGCATCATAATGGCCTGGGAGTGTTAACGCAGCTCCCTAAGTGGCTAAATTACACCCCAGAGATTCTCACTCAGCAGTGTAAGCCTTTAGTGCTTTCAGACATTTTGGGAAATGCATCCATTGCCCCATTCCAAGCTTAATTGGCATAATAAATGTCAATTAAAGCTCCTTTAAGATTTTAAACTGCAAGAGTCAAGTGCAACTATGTATGTATAGACTCTTACGGAGACTTCCCCACCAGAAGTCTTTCCTAAAAGAGACTCCACATATTTAGGTTTACCATGGGCGACATGGATAGACAACACACAACCTTGCATTCACATAGGAAAAGACGTTTCCCCAGCTATCCTAAACGTGTCCTTCATAAATGGCTTGCAAACTATTACATATCATACATGTCAGTAGAATTCAGCTTTCAACAAATAGAGAGAGAACATCAACTCAAGGACGGTAAATACAGGAGTCAACAGAGGAGAGAGACGTGTGTCCCCCACCATCAACATGGAGGGATCCTTTCAGAAGCTACCAGGAGGTCCTTCTTCCTCCTTCATTCGGTGTCTACACACAACTCCTTTCCTAACTTTTACTTATGAGGCTTAAAAGACAATTATTCATTCATCCAGTGTAAATATAAAGCAGGGTCTTTGTTAACTTCTGAACTTGGCAAAAATATTTTTTATGTCTCATACATAGTTCATCGATTTCGATTTCAGGAAATTCCACTTTATATTAAGTAGCCCAAGCTGCCAATTGCTTGATTCCATCGTCTTCGTCTTCTACCCTCCTGGAAGAGGCTGGAACATAAAAATGATTTTTAAAAAAATTAGTCATTGACATCACTCCCACTTTCAGCCTACAAAAAGGTATGAATTACACATAAAATGTGTTTATTTATGAAATCAAATGTAAATGAGTACTAAAAGAAGGGACGTGGCTATTATTTTTAGGAAACTGTAAGAACACAGGTAGTGGAGATGGGTACAGACCTGCTCGAGATCGGTGTGCAAAGGAGGATGCCGCTGGCCTTCTCTCTGGCTGTGCTGGGAGAGAAGAGGAAGGCACATTTGGAAGCCGAATATTTGTCATCTTCTTGTTTAATTCCTCCTGCTCCAATTCTTCAAGTTCTGCCATCAGCTCATCCTGAACGTAGGAGAAAGGAAGAATTACAGAGTTAACGTTTCAAGAAGTGGGTTTCCTTAAACACAATAACAAGAACATCTGCTACCCAATTGATATGTGAGAACCCAGTGAAATGGAATATTTATTTTAAAACTAAGTCTTTTTTGCAACACTGAGCAATGATTAAAAAATGAATATTTTGGGTTGTGCAAATTTGTTGTAGTTAATCTTATAATACTTCAGTAAACAGCCATTCAAGTAATTTGTGCTAGCTGAATATATAATCTCAGTTTCTGGGAAATTTACACCTTGCCTGTCATTTTTTCAATATGCTCTCTTCTTTTCTCCTGTTGAGAAGCTATGAAACTTTAATTGGAAGAAATAAATATTTTTATTTGGGCTAATGCTATTGAAAATAGAACAGTAAGCATAGCAAAAACCATAATGCAATAAAAATAAAAAGAATCAGAGATACTGTGGTACCTTTATCAAATCATCAAAGTTAACATAAATCATGTGTGTGCTTGGGTTAATAAAACTTCAGTTCAAAGACAGGTATAATGTATTTCTTTAACAATAGTCCAAAAGAGTCTGGTTTAATCTTAAACTATTCCCCGAACAAAAGCTGTAGAGAGGCAACATTAGTTTGAGATCTTAAGGATGTACGTCACCTTGTACCAGGTCTGAGATAACCTGAAGTATTTCACATCTCTTGCCTCCATAAGTCTCAGATAGAGATCAGCTCCCCTCAGGAAAAAGTCAAGAGTCAAAATTAAATTTACCATCATTGAATTTTTTAGGTTATCACAATTAGAAATGACCTGGGACACCCTTAGAGTCAACCAGGTAGATTCTTCATTCATTCATTCACTCTTGATTCCACAAATTTAGGACAGAGTTTGAACTCAGTACTAGAGATGCAAAATTGAATCCACACTCCCCACATTCAAGGAGTGCATGCTTAAATTTGGGAGAAAGCCATGTAAACAAATATATTAAAGTAAGGTTAATAACACCATGGAGCAAGAGAGGAGATACTTAAGCCAAGTCCTCATTGATCAAATTCATGAGTATCAGATTTGCAGAAAGTTGACCTCTATTAAACTGACTGCACATTAAAAAAATAAAATAAGAAGGTGTATACCATCAGGTCATGTGAAACAGCATGATGAGTGTGGCTAAGTGCTTTACACTTCTTCTCAGTTTATATAAATAAAATGATAATAGAATGAATAGTCTGATGCCTAGTTCTGCTCAAAAAACAAACATAGTAACTGTGGTAATGGCAGAATGAGCTGCTTTATGTTGACTGCATGCCCAGAATGCCATGGGTACTTGACAATTACCAACAGCACCAGAAAGACATTGATGTTTTCTTCAGGAAATATGATGGACACAGTAGCTATCTCCTCCATCATTTTTAGCCTTTCAGTTCCAAACTCTTATTTGATCATTTTAGAAAAGATTTTTAGAATTTAATAAGCTTTGGAGATAATCCAGTGATTCAAGAGTTTCCATTCTATCTATGAGAAAACTACAGGTGAGAAAAGTAAAGGGACTTAAGATGTCCTCATAAGCCCAAGGCCCTTTCCACCATGCCACAATGCATGCATTAGATGCTTGTTAGTCTACACCAGGGTTGGCAAATATTTCCTATAAAGGGTCAGATAGCAATGTTTTAGGTGTTGCAGGTCACATATCTTTCCATCACATAGTTTTCTTTGTAGTTGTTTTCTACAATACTACAAAACTGAAAAAGCTTCTTGGCTCTAGGCCAGACAAAAACAAGCAAAGGGAATGATTTGGTCTTCAAGCCATATTTTGCCAACCTCTGTCTATGCCATTTTTTTTTAGTACCTCACTTTATTTTTATTGGTTGTTCAAAACATTACAAAGCTCTTGACATATCATATTTCATACATTTGATTCAAGTGGGTTATGAACTCCCATTTTTACCCCATATATAGATTGCAGAATCACATCGGTTACACATCCACGTTTTTACATATTGCCATACTAGTGTCTGTTGTATTCTGCTGCCTTTCCTATCCTCTACTAATCCCCCTCCCCTCCCCTCCCATCTTCTCTCTCTACCCCATCTACTGTAATTCATTTCTCTCCCTTGATTTTTTTCCCTTTCCCCTCACATCCTTTTATATGTAATTTTGTATAACAATGAGGGTCACCTTCCATTTCCATGCAATTTCCCTTCTCTCTCCCTTTCCCTCCCACCTCTTGTCCCTGTTTAACGTTAATCTTTTTCTCATGCTCTTCCTCCCTGCTCTGTTTTTAGTTGCTCTCCTTATATCAAAGAAGACATTTGGAATTTGTTTTTTAGAGATTGGCTAGCTTCACTTAGCATAATCTGCTATAATGCCATCCATTTCCCTGCAAATTCCATGATTTTGTCATTTTTTAGTGCTGAGTAATACGCCATTGTGTATAAATGCCACATTTTTTTATCCATTCATCTATTGAAAGGCATCTGGGTTGGTTCCACAGTCTAGCTATTGTGAATTGTGCTGCTATGAACATCGGTGTGGCAGTATCCCTGTAGTACGCTCTTTTAAGGTCTTCAGGGAATAGTCTGAGAAGGGCAATAGCTGGGTCAAATGGTGGTTCCATTCCCAACTTTCCCAGAAATCTCCATACTGCTTTCCAAATTGGCTGCACCAATTTGCAGTCCCACCAGCAATGTACAAGTGTACCCTTTTCCCCACATCCTCGCCAGCATTTGTTGTTGTTTGACTTCATAATGGTCTATGCCATTTTTTAAACTCAGTTATCACTCAATTCTCACTTTCTAGGATTCCATGGAGCCACATTGTACTTGTTAGATGTATCGTTTTTAGTATCACATAGAAGGAAGTTGGACTCTTTGCTATGCTACTCTAGTATGTGGACATGTTTTTAAACATGCCCTAGTCCTACTTGGGTATGCTTTGAGTAGCGCAGCTGAAATTCACAGTGCAAACACCACCAACATAATTACCTCCTCTCTGTATTATTAGACTGATTAATCTAAACAGAATGTATGTGTTAATAATGCCACCCCACATTATGTTGTTTCATAATCTGACTAATAAACAGAGGCAGCCGGACCTCTAATTTAACATCTACAAAGCATGATGCCTGCATTTTGCAAAGCAACACAGTCTGCTTTGTTTGCCCAGATGTGTGAGCACTCGATCCCTCCTAATGGGGCTATTCAGACTCCAACCATTAAAAGTCAGTAACTTTACATAATCACATGCCACTTTTCCTTAATAGCTGAAAACTTAATTAGGAGGCTGTTTGCCAAACTAGATTAATCTTTCCTTTAAATCAGAGCTACTAACTCTTCATTTCTCCCTCAAAAGAAGTACATTTTCAACAAATATCATTTATTCTCCAAGGAACAAAAGAATCTACCCACTACATGCTCTAGGCTGCTACCCTATTGTGGTATAGCAGCCACAAACCACATTACCATTGTGTTACCTACCTCATCAAAGCCATCGTTAAATCCAACCCGTTGAGAAAATGCTTCTGAGATTTCTTGGGCAATGTCCTGTTGCTCTGTGATGTCTTGCATCAAGTCATCTATTTTGTTCAGATCCCTGGCAAATAATAATTTGTTGAAATATTTTATGATTTTACCTTAAAATTATAAATGTAGGCATAATCCCATATGAAAAAATTAGTGGATTTCTTTTTTATTTGAGATAGAGTCTTGCTGTGTTGCCCAGATGGATCTCAAACTCCTGAGCTGAAGTGATCCTCCTGCCTCAGCCTCCCAAGTAATTGGGATTATAGGTATATACCACCAAACCCCACCACAATGAGTCAATTTAATATAAACTTTGTGTGTGTGTGATGCTAGGGATCAAATCTGGGGCCTTGTGCAGGCAAGGCAAGTACTCTACCAACTGAGCTATATCCCCAGCCCATAATATAAACTCTTAATTATTTCAGTAGCATAACAAAAATTCCCCACTGATATAAAGTTGATAAATATCAACTTAAAAATAATTTGCACTTCAAAAAATTTAACAATCCTTTATATGCACCTATATTTTAAATATTAAGTAAATATCCATTACCTTTAGGAGTTACTATAAATCAAATTATTTTATAACAGAATTTATGGGGCCATTTTGAAATTTTGTATAAAAGGGCATTTGTAAAAATTTAGATATATACTACCATATATTACTTCTATAGGAGATATACCACGAACCACCAGGGACCACCAAGATGGAGATATGTATGGCAGCTCTCAATAGCCACTTTCTGAAAGCAGCATTTGTAGAAGCTGAACTCTGGGACTAGAGATCTAATTTCTATAGTACCTCAGATCCTGATGCCTTGAGGGTTTTCCCATAGTGTGATGCCCCAGGAGATTATTAAAGGGAAAAGGATTTGACCTATGGGTACCCCAGAAGAATCAGCAACTACAGCAAAGGAATCCAGGTGTCTCCAAATCATTCCTTCAGCTCCAAAACTAGGCCAAGCTGATTGGATACAAGGATACAAGGTTACTTCATTATTAAGTAACCTAAACACTGAAAGTTTGTGTCCCAGAAGAATTAGTCTTTTTGAGTTTCTCAGATTCTCTCCATATGCTATGACCACAGAGTACTCTGACATATTTTCACGCAGTAATCAAAAAGAATACTTTTATCACTCTCCTACACCCTTTATCTCCAATCCTTACTATTATATCTATAATGAATATATTTATTAAAAGGAGAATGAGAAATGTGTTGCTAAAGTTTGGGGCTGGGTGTGAATTTTTCTCAAAAGGAACACAATGGTGATGCTGTTGAGCTATCTGGGGAGAGACTAATTTGTACATTTCAGCACCCAGCTTCCAGCAACCATAGAGAATTTAGAGTCTGATAACGAATCTAATGACCTCTCTAAAGCTGCCAAAATGGTGGCTGATTGTTAATGAACTACAAAGGCAAGAAAATGTTCGCAAGGCTGTCTTCGCTGCCCCAGCCTCTGCCTTTTCCACTCTTCCTATCCTGTGCAAATCTGCCTACATCCCTCAGGCATTCATTGCTCTTATGCATCTTTGACCAAGATTCCACTGTCATGACTAACACCAGGAAAGGATCAGGTCACTGGCATTTACTTCCCAATGTGGGTGTGAACCAAACTGCCACCAGCCCCACTACCACGATGAATGATTATTGAGTGCTTACTCTGAAAACTGTGTTGAGTGCATTTCATCTAGCATCTCACTGAAATTTCCAATTTACAGATAAGGAAACTGAATCAGAGAGAGAGAGAAAGCAATCTGCCCAAGGATTGTCCCTGGGCAGCTGGGATGATAAGCCAGCAAATTTGAGCCCCAAAGTATAAAATTTCATTCCCACAACTATTACTCTCTCTATATTCTGTATCTATTCTACAAAGTTCTCAAACCTTGGGTGGTATCAGAATCACTTGGGAAGTTGGTTAAAAACAAACAAACATATAAAAAATCCTATCCTACTTCCAGGAACCTGGAATCTGTTCCCTTTAACAGCTCAGATTCCCACCCAAGTTGGACAACCACTATTCCTCGGCACAGATCTTGACATTGAAGGGTCTTTTTTTAAATTATAGAATTAAGGTATGTACAGAGATGGAATTTCAAGCAATCATAGAGAACTAAGAAACATGAAGGATAAAAATGTACACCCTTCTTTTTTTCATGGCTGGTTGGTTTGTCCTCGTCTTTTTTGTCATGGCAACCTCTGATTTACCTCTGAGAAAGCATTCCATTCAGTATGCCAAAGAGCCTCAAATGAGTAAAGAGATTCCTGCTAAAATCATCATGTAATTTCAAGGGCTTTTCCCAACACTGAGGGCATTTATGATTCAGAGGGAGAACAAAGTCACGCACATGTTTTCATGAACAGCTTTCATTGCCTTTGCTGCAAAGCCCATGTTCCTCAACACCTCTGTGTTGGTGTGGGAGTTTTCCAAAGCTTCTCTCTGGAACTCAATGGTGGAAAGGGTGCCGTCGATCTGAGTGAGCTGCTTTTCCAACCTCTTCTTTCTCTTTAGTGCCTGCAATGCAGCTAAACAAGGGAGAGACCACATTCATAAGGGAAGACACACTACTCAAGGCATTTACACACACCACCCACAGACTCAGAACTGCTGATACCTAAGACAAAGTGCACACCAAACACTCCTGAGACACTAAAGGGTGACATCTCTCAAACACTGTGTTATGCTTTCTTCCAAAGATCTGGAAGGTATAACAGAGGACGCAAAGTCAATTATAATATTCCATGAAATATAACACAGAAACATTTCTGTCAATATTGGATTTTTTTAAAAGATAAAAATATGAGTAAAACTATGCAAAACAAAAAAAGTCTTTAGAGGACCAAAGGACCTGAATGGTTGTCAACTCTAATCCTCTTCCTTAAAGGTGAGTTTATGGAGACACAGATTAATTAAGTCACTTGCTTAAAGTGAGACCACTAATGGGTGGCAGCTGGAACCAGATCCTGGAGTGTGGACCTACATGTCTTGATTTGAAATGATTAAGAAATGGTCATTAAGGTTACATCTAACCAAGTGTCCGTGAAATCAGTGCAGTTAGAGTCATCCTCAAGGAGTACATGGCATATGGGTGTCATAAAAGAACATTGCCTTCAGAGAAACAATATCCAAATAACCTTCTTATTCACCCCTTAGCAAGATAATCTTACCTATATCAATTTGAAACCACAAAACTAAGAGTCCTTTGACTTTAGCATTTTGAAAGGCAACATTATCAGGCCCTAAAATGTTCATTTTTTATATTTATTTTTTAGTTGTAATTGGACACAATATCTTTATTTCACTTATTTATTTTTATGTGGTGCTGAGGATTGAACCCAGGGTCTCATGCCTGCAAGGCGAGCGCTCTACTGCTGAGCCCCCTAAAATGTTCATTTTTGATAAAGCATTTGGGGGAAGTGCAAGAAAAGAATAGCAGAAGAATGTTAGCATAAAGAGAAGTGATAATTAAATGGATTTGACAAAAGAACTCAAATAGTTTGTGGATTTGGACAGAAGCAGATGAGTTATTACAACACACTTCTGGGAGAAAACTCCTTCTGTTCGCAGGAATTGCTTTTTGTAACTCCAACAAATTTACTTATTCCAGTGTTTTTTCACTGGTTCACAGACTCATAGGCATTGTATTTTCTTAATAGATTTTATTAGTCATCCGTGAAGCTCTTTTCCTCCCTCTCTGGCTACCTGAGGATCAGCCACCATCATGAATGACACATTCATATCCAGACCAGGAAGTCCATGATCAACTGACCACTTCAGAGGGAACAAATGGTTACTGATTTCCTTCACCTTGAGAAGACAACAGTACATAAAACAGATTCTCAGGAAAATCTAGTCAAAATGTACAAGACCACCCCAGACATCATCTTTGTTTTTGGATTTAGAACCCATTTTGGTGATGGCTTTGGCATGACTTATAATTCTTTGGGTTATGCAAAGAAAAGTGAATACAAATATAGCCTTGCAAGACATGACATACACAGAAGAAAAAGACCTCAAGAAAACAGTGAAAGGAACAAAAGAATAGAACAAAGGGAGTCAGGGGAACTGCAAAGGCCAGTGTTAGTGCCAGCAAAATGCAGAGTAAAGACTCTGCCATGACTATCTGTGGCAATTGTGCCACTTTTTCACAAGAGGGTTAATAAACTGCAAAGACTTTAAAAAATCAGCACAAAATATCATCCTATATCCCACTTATATTTTTTTTCCTTAAATTCCATCTTGTCTTATATTCATATTTTGGCCTTCTTTTGGTTACAGTTTGCTTTTAATAAACTTTTTCATGGACCTCTATTTCAAATTTTTATTTGCCCCTTTTTAGAATGCCTATTAAAAATAGCATATACTCGAATGTTGTTATGGTTTAGGTATGAGGTATCCCTCAAAAGCTCTCGTGTGAGACAACACAAGAAAGCATAGAGGTGAAATGATCAGATTACGAGAGAGGTTTAACCTAATCAGTGCATTAATCCCTTGATGGGGATTAACTAGGTAGTAACTGTAAGCATGTAGGGTGTGGTTGGAGGAGGAGGGTCACTGGGGGCATGACTTTGGGGTTTATATTTTGTCCATTGCTGGGAGCCATTAGCCAAGTAGGTATGACAATTTCCTTGCCAGCGTACCCCATGTTGCTGACATGTTGCAGCGACATTGAATGTAGGTGACCTTGCTCAAGGACCAAGGCAGATTAGGGTGTTCCCGGTTTTAAGATAATCCTGTTTAGGGCGTTCCCAGTTTAGGTTCCAGGTTTAAGGTTTAAGATTATTCCTCCTGGGAATAGGGCGTATGCTGCTGCCTGAGTTCCCCTTGAGTTCTCACGTGATTCAGACAGTATATTTTGGAGATAGAAGCCCAGTGGAGGGGGATTTGGGCAGAGAACGTGGACTTCCCCAGAACGTGATTGTAGACGGCTGGTGTGAGTTCGGGAATAAAGAGTTGCTGTTTGAATCTACAAGCTGTGTGGTGGCTCGTGATTGTGTGCCCAGCCAGACTGCGGCAGTCCATGGTGAGGGGAGTTCTCTCACTCTCTCTGCTTCCTGGTGGCCATGTCCTGCATCACACCCGTCCGCCTTGATGTTCTGCCCACCTCAGGCACAGAGCAATGGAATTGGTGGTATTTGAACTAAGACCTCTGAAATTGTGAATCCCAAATGAACTTCTCCTCTTCTAAAATTTTTATTGTTGGGTCTTCTGGTCTTCTTTTTTTCAGGGGCATGGTACTGGGGAGTGAACCCAGGAGTACCTAACCTCTGAGTTACATTCCCCAGCCCTTTCTATATTTTATTTTGAAACAAGATTTTGCTAAGTTGCTTAGGGCCTCAATAAGTTGCTGAGGCTGTCTTTAAATGTGATTCTCTTGTCTCAGCCTCAGGAGCCACTAGGATTACAGACATGTTCCACTGCATGTGGCCATAGCCTCATTTATTACAATAATTGATTTTACAAAATATGATCTTTTTACTGTCAACTTCTGTGTCTTCTGATTGTTGTACATTTTGTCCTCATTGCTTTCTTTTCTTTATGTAGATTAGTCAAGTATTTTTGTTCATTTTTTCACTATAATTTGTGCATATACTAAATTTATTCTCCTAACAAATACACTTGTATTTAAAATATATACATATAATTAAATAAGTTTTGTAACCCTATTGAAAATTAATCAGTCTATAATTTACTGTTCCCAAACAAGATTCCCTTCCCACCCCAGACTCCACAATGTCTAAATAATCTGCAATTTTTTTTGACTTCGAGATGACTAACAAATTTCTTGCTATTCTTTCAATTTTTTAAGGGACTTTTTCTCAATAATAAGCATCATATGCATAATTTCACTAGTTATTTACACTAATCTGTATGTTTAGTGGCTTATTTTCTTACTATTGCTCCTTATATTCTACATTGTTCTCTTTGATGGCTTTTTAAATTTTACTGAAGTGAATCTTTTTTCAGCAAAGTATTTTTTAGCATATAGATAAAATACTGTAGATATACTTATATAAATGTGCATAGATGTAAACTCTGAATACCTATAGGTCTGAAAAATCTTTATTTTGTTTCAAACTTGCATGATAATTTAGACTTTTCCAGAATTCTAGATGCCAAATATTTTAAAATTTTAAGACTCTATTCTGTTGTTTTGCAGTAGTCAACATCTCAAAAGTTTGATTAAAAATATTCTAATTTATTTGTAAATGCTTTGCCTTTTTGTTTATCCTCTGAAAGTATTTGAGATTCTATTTTTTATATTAAAGTCATGAAATTTCCCTAGGATAATTCTAGGCATGTGCCTTTTATCTTTTGTTTTTTCCAACTAAGCATTTTTATTGTGAAGAATTAGAATAAAAATTTCCTTTAGCTTGAGGAAAAAGTGTTCCATTTTTCTTTTGTTTCTTCTCTGTTCTCCAATATTTCTGTCACTCTCCTCTGAAATCCCCACTTATTTTTAAATTATCTCTACCATCACCTGTTCCCACATAAACATTCTGTTTTCTCTCTTTTGAAACCTCTGTGAGATGGATACCAGCTTCTTTGGCTCTATCCCCTAACTTATTAGTTTGTCTCTCCATCTTTTTGATCAATATTCAGGGAGAATTTCTTGATTTTATTTTCCTGATTACTAGTTTCATCTTCACCTATATTCATTTTACCTTTTTCTTGCCCTTTAATTGGTTTTTAAATTATGTTTTTAATTTCTAACTTCTTGTTTTCTACCTGCAGATTTCTATAGCAGCATTCTCTGGTCTCACAGATGCAATAGCCTCTTGAACCCTGAAGATTCAATACAAGATGTTTATTTCCACCTTTCATTTCTGAAACTCTCTCTCTTCTCTTGGGTTCTATTGTCTGCTTTGCTTATCTTGATGCTTTTGCATAACTGCCCTTCCTCAAAATGCTTCTGATTGTCTCTTGTAGGTTCATATTTATAAATGAAAGGCTAGAATGGTTCGTGTAAGTTGCTGTGTGTCTTGTAGTTACAGAAGCCTCTCCTGGAAGGAGAAGGCTGCCCACAGCTCTGTGGAACAAGTGGGAATGCCGGCAGGCAGGCTTCCTTCCACAGGAGGGAGCGAGCACACAGCTGGGGACTCCTACAGTTGCCCAAGAAAGGCTTTGCTTTGAGTGTGAAATATTTCTCCCTCCTGGCAGTGGTGACTTTTCTTCCTACCCTCCCTACCCACTGTGGGGTCTGAGGTTACCTCAGGCTCTGCTGTTTTCCTCTTCGGGTGTGGCACCACAATTAAGCTTTTATTGAACAGCATTACACTTTAATTATAGAACAGCTCTTATTTGCTTATCCTGTCCTGTAGGAAAGAACTAAAACAATTTCTTCTTAAGTCAATTGGCTCAAAGACCTTCTTACAAGATCACACTTAAGAGAGCCTTACCACATTAATGACCAATCTGTGGGAGGGTTTTCTCCAATGCACAGGGAGAATGGCCAGCTGACCCCCTGGGCTATCCCTCTGTCTGTGGATCCACAGCTACTGCTGTATCTATCACACTGTATTGT